TTACAACAATTACATAATTACATCGAAATTAACTTGTGTGTATGTGTGCAATATTAAATGCACATTGATAATTGTCGTATTTCTGCCATAGTAGAAGGAAGAGGGGCACAAATTAAGAACTAAATTGTATTAGCAAGGCGGGCACCTTTTTATCATGGCCTACCTACTTACTAAAAAATCAAAATTAGAAATATACGGGTTGTGTTTGAAATAACTCACATTTTTTAAAAAGCTGATGAAATTATTGAAGGTATACAGCGTGTTTCATAAAAAAACACACAATTTAGTTTGTATGTAAAAATTTGTGAGTTTCGGTTGAAAATGGACTACTCCACTGGAATAAGCCTATCTAACCACTTTTCGCCTTTTCGATAAGTTAACGTATAAGCGAATTGCAAGAGAAGTCAAAAAAGCAACATCTAGTATATAAAAATCCCAAATAACCATGACACTTCTATTTTACCACCTTTCATTTTATCAAAAAATAGGCTTGGGAAAGTCGCAGCACGCTAGATTTATTAATAAAGCCGTAAAATCATAAAAAGTTGAACACGCTGTACTTAATTTATTTTTTGAACTTTGATGATGAAGGGAGAAGAGAGGCAACTTTTTGGAAAGCAAGACGGAGGTGCTCTGAAGGTGCCCGTCTCAACGTTGTGGGGTGTCTTTGCTCCTTCGATAAGTTTGACATTTAAGACCATTAATATTGTATAAAATAAATTCGTTCTAATTAAGATGTGTCTTTTTTTTGCATAGAAATAATTATTTCTTAAGTCAGCGGCTAGCTAATATCTAAACGAGAGCGCCATCTATAGGCGCTTGGCTCAACCAATTAGGTACGCGGTGCGCCGATAGATAGCGCGGTAACGGCGCCAAATACGGGCGACCGGCTGAACTAATTATACTGTCCACAATTATTTAGTTCCACGTTTTAATGGCAGATGGCGCCAATATCGTGTGACCGATGTGAGCACTATCTGCCGGTGCTCGCCTCAACAATTAGTTATGTGGTTAAACGTTCGAAATGTGCGTCATCTATCGGTAATCACTACAATTAATTAGTCCGAGGATTCGTCGACAGATAGCGCGAGTATTGCATGAAAGTTTCGCGGTTCGATATCATCGCCAACTATCGGTACTCGCACCAACTAATTAGTTCCACTTTTACCGAGAGATGGCAGCACTATAATGCCATCTGTTGAGATGTACCTCAACTAATTAATTCAAGGGTTTTCAAATAAATCGGCTCCATTGTGGGATAAATGTGAATGAAAACAACCACAGGAATTAAAAAAAAATGTAATATACAATATATAGAGGTCGTGCTAGGTATGAAAATCCGCGAACTTTTCGTGTCCCAAACGCAGCGCCTGATCTGCCACGCGAGGCCCCATCGCACAAAAACTGCAATGGCCCCAACCACTGGGTCAAGACTGTAATCCTCCATCTCCGGGTAAGTACACGTTTTGCGGGAAAATCATGAACTTGATGTCTCATAAGTGCTTTGCAACAAACAGACAACTTACGGGCGGGTAGGATAATAATCAAAGTCCTACATACCCATATCTGTATACTACCCAGTGGAGGACTGATTAAAGTCTGACTGAGTGAATGCTCCCATGGTGCCGATCTTAAACCCTTCTGGTCCCTCCACTTCTTAATTCCTTATCTGACACTGACAGTTGAATAGCTGCCCTGCAACTGCTGCGTCCCCCTACAACAAAACATTACTCTTCTTCAGGCACACCCCCAATTACACTCACATTCTTTTCTCGATTTGATAATATGCGGCATGTTCAAAGGCAAAATTGTTCTTCGTAAAATGTAAACCTGAGTACTGAGTACCTTTCGGTGTTCCCACCTTGCCAGAACTAAACATACGGTTTAGATTAGGAACGTATCGCGTCACTCACTCACCCAGGTAATTAGTTTTTCACCAACAAAACTCACCGAATACAATCTGGCCATCTCGTTCATAAATGCCGTTTTCGTTATACTGACCGAACAAACTCAACACATGCGCCATTTGGGCGAAGTATATGTGCACAGATAAAGGTGATCAAGATTCCCATGGAAAATTTGAAATCACAGAACGGCGAATGTCTTCTTCTTTTGCGTGACGGGCAATTGAGCAAAGTGTCTTTCGGAAAGCAGTCAATGAAAACGCCGTTTCCTACTTGCGAGCTTATGGAAAAAATTGCATGATTGTTGAAAATAAGCTTGTTCAGTTGTGCACTACTGTTTAGTGATGCCTCAGCACTACCCGCTGCACGATGCGGTGCGTAGGTGATTTTGGTCAACTGTTGAATATCAATCGCAGCGGGATTTTATTGAAAAACAACTGAGCTAATAAATTCGGAAAGTAAAATGCGACGAATTTCGTCTGCAAAACATGAACCTATCTTTGAAAACAGCGAAGTTTTATAACAAAGATGAGTCGATGCCTAGCATGGCGTTCAGACGATACGCTTCTGTTGAGAAACAAAAAAGCCACCCTGCTTAGTAATGCTTTGAAGAAGTCCAATGATAAAAAATGACGTGTGCCAGGAAATAAACGAAATACATTGGCGCTGTATACTCCAAGGAATATTGCGGCAAAAAGTTTTACTTCTGTGAGGTGGGAAGCGAAGATGTTACTTTTTGAAATTACTTTCATACTAATACAAGTTGTCCCAAACGTGTTAAAAGTATCAAAGTTGTCTTTTTTTATAGGAAATCGATCAAAATGCGTGTCTGATTGATTCAATGTTTACCGTACGAGGTTTTTTAAACAATTTGAATGTTGTTTTAATTTCTGAAATAATCTTATACAGGGTGGCCAAAATGTATTCTAATCTCACAACAACTTTAAGCAAATAATCTACTAGGGAATATGGTTTTCACTATTTGCATTTTTCTAGAATTATGGCTTTCGGTGTTATCTAAATTAATGTTTTATTGCGTCTGGTTGCTATAGTGTTTGGAAATGACCCACAATTTATTATAGCCAATTTGGTTTGGTTTTGTTGTGAAGTCTGTTTACCGGATAGTCTGTGAACTTTAGATATTTTATGATTACATTGGTCAGTTTTCTCTGATACTTTATCACAACTTGCCATTGGTGCAAATTCTAATATTAGGATTTACAATTTTTGTTTGAAACTCGATGGGTGAGACAACTAAACTGTAAACGATAAAATAATGTATATATGTAACATAACATATGTATAAGTTTTTTTGAAAATTTATGAAATTTAAAAAGCAATTTATTATCCAGGCTGTAACGGCCAACTAACTAATCAAAACTAACCAAAAATATAAACATGAAACTGAATAAAGAACTGTAATTTCATTTCATTTTCCAAAATCGTTTCAATATGCTCTTCTTTTAGGTAAACTAGCATCAACAACAAACAACTAAACAAACACCACAGCAAAAATATCCAAATTTTAATAATTTTTAAAGAAAATAAAAGAAAAATGAGATAAAGTCTAAAGACTAAACAAATTATCTAAAATTTATAAATGAATGAATTAATATTAAACCACATTTTGATAAAAGTTAAATAATTTAAAAAGGCTTGAAGGCTTAAAACCTAATTGAAACACTTATTTGTATTACTATAATATGAAGTGGGTTCCATTTTTAAAAAAATACAATTTAATGCTTTTAACACTTTTGCAGCATACCTTTATATTCATCATTAACATACATAATCATTGTTGGAAAATACTCACAATGTGGTGCTAGAAATGTTTTGGATATATTAAGCCTAGAAAGCATAGAAATATGTACACCAATTGTAAAGAAGTTTACTTCATGATTTGAAAATTTTAGTTCTTTATCAAAAATCAACCCTAGATATATTTACATTCCTGTAAATTTATATAGACTTTTTTATTCATTATTAGAAATTACCACTTTCAGAATATATATTTTCACCTTCTCACATCTTTCTTTTAAATAACAAACCCTAACTAGTAGTCAATGTTTCAAAAGCTCTTTTGAAGTATACAATAGTACATTATGCAACAAGTGCGGTAAATGGCATTTGACTCACTAGTTTATATGACACGAGCGGAGCGAGTGTTTAATAAACGAGTGACTTAAAAAGTATACCGTACGTGTTGCGTACTATACTTTTTCTACGACCGGTAGTTTTTGTGTACAGTTTCGCAAAACAACACGAATACATTCACTGACATGACCGTCAGAATTCACAAACGTTAAAATTCAAGACGTGGGAAATATCTCCGAAAACCTCCGATTGTTCCCAAACCCGTGCGGAAAAATCTTGGAAATGTGCGAAGTGGGACACGTGCGAAACAAGACGTGGTAAAGTGACGCTTCCCACGCGCTAGATCGGGGTGTAATTAGGCATTTTACAGATGGAAGTAGAAAAAAGAATTTACCTCACAGACCGGATACATAGTCACAAACAATTTCGAATTTTTCAATTTTTTATGGCGATCAGAACGTCAAATTCGAACCACGCTCACCTATATATTACATTTGGTGAACTAAAAAATGGCCAATAAAAGTAAAAGAAGAAAAAGAAGACAAAATTTGAACAATGGCATTTTAAAATAAATCGAAACTACATTTGACTTATGAAAAAAAAATTGGGAAAATTCAATACTACATAATAAAGAAAGGAAATAAACTCTCCGGTCTTAGGCGTGAATGTTGACTTCTATAGACACACATAAAGTCTAAATAAAAACACGATCAGCCTAGTTTAAAAAACAGTTGCTTTTTCTGAAAATCGAGAAATCCCATGAAGGAAATTCAGAACTGAAACAGGCCTGGTGCAATAAACAGACGTTTTTAATGTATCTAGGTACATACTTATGTCGCAGAACGCGACAAATAGTTTAGTTCTCTGTGCATAGATGATTCTTCTTTTGTGCTATCATAAAATGTGCCTAAATTACCGTTTGCCCATTAATGACACCAGTCGAGTTAGGATAGAATTAACTTCGACATACGTTCAGAAAAAGATATTCTTTGGTCTATCTATCTTGCTTGCCCAACCTGAGTATTCTGTGGTGCTACGGAGTCTGGTGCAACGGAATAGTCAAAGCAAATAGAAGAAAAGCATTGCTCAAAATAAAATTTTTTAAAAAGTATATTCAAAAGTAAGTGATCGGTTGTTAAATGTATCAGTGGGGTACTTGTAGCAATACGTTTTCATATCGTTTCGAACCGATCGAAATTTTACTAGCCATTAGCGGGAAATACGTCATTTATTCACGTTCATGGCGGCTTCTGAAGAATCTCCGGAATAGCGCTCTCCATGGTTTATCCCTGGTTTTGTTTGTTTTGTTCATATTACGGACAACTCTTTGCTGGATTTGTCTATGCAAATTTTCAAATATTTTACCAATGAATGCTATATTTTGTACAGGCACCATTTATTTATTTTAGATTGGTCGAAATTTGTCGTCATAGCAACATATACAGTCCTAAACTGAAGGATACCGTGGAAAATGTCCGGTATAGCAGCGACACGCTTAGCGGAAGAAAGGAAAGCATGGAGAAAAGATCACCCTTTCGGTTTCGTGGCCCGCCCTTCGAAAAATCTAGACGGCTCCTTGAATTTAATGAACTGGGAGTGTTCGATCCCTGGCAAGAAGGGAACCCCTTGGGAAGAGGGACATTACAAATTGCGTATGCTCTTCAAGGTACCATCTTTTTTCTTGCGATTTTATGCATTCATAATGCAACATTCAGTTAAAGGGGTATTATTTTTTGTTTAGGAAGACTACCCTACCAGTCCCCCAAAGTGCAAATTTGAACCGCCCCTGTTCCATCCCAATGTGTACCCGTCAGGCACCGTTTGTTTGTCTTTATTGGACGAGGATAAGGATTGGCGTCCCGCCATTACCATCAAGCAAATTTTACTGGGTAAATTTCTTATGACTTGAAAAAAAAAATTAGTGATCTAAAGTGGTAAAGTTTTTTATGTAAAATATAACAATCTTTAAACATAATTATTGTGGCACATTTTTAAGTATAAGATACCCATTTGATGACAAGGTGAAAAACTAATTGAAACTGATGAAGATTATTTCAAATGGGATTCTGATACTTTTTGTTATCTGTGGAGAATGGGGATCAATTGAAAGGTAAATTGGTATAAAGAAATTAATGAAATTTTATTAGGTTAGAGTAATAGTTAATTTTTCAAAAAAAGGTCCCACTTAAGTTGCAAAAAATGGTTGAGAGAAAAACTAAAATACATACTTACACTTTTTTCCAAAAATGGACTGGAGCTAGTAATTGTTTACTTTACAAATATATATTTTTTATTTCAAAAAATCTATTAAGTTAATTTTTATTACAGTAAATAAAAATACATTAAAGCTACAATATCAAATACAACTAAGCTGCTGTTTTTTCTCTATATTAATAGGTTGGATAATTTAAGGGGTGATTCTATATGAATGAATAACATTCTTCGTTAATGGAAAAAGGGTCCGGTTTGAGTTGAGAAAAAGCGTTAAAAAGTAGTAACTTTTTCGAATTGTTTTAACCATAACCATTTTTTTTATCATTTTTTGCAAAAAATGGACTAGATCTAGTAATTGTTTGTGTTAAAATATTTTAATTTACAAAAAGTATTTTTTTTATTTCTCAAAATCAAATAAGTTAATTTTTAATATAGCATAATATAATTTGCATCTAATATATTTAATTGTTAAATGAAGCTGCAGGAATTGAATACGAAACTATCAGTTTCCCCTGTAAATGGTTTTTATCATATTTTGTTCATTTATGGCGAGAATGAAAATCCCCAGGTTTTTGTTTTTTTTTTCACTCAATAATTCACCCTTAACGATATAGGTATTAAAGCCTCTCGTTTAATGATTGATGAATAAATGAATATGAATAAATTATTGGTTTTTGGGTTTACCCAGTAACAATAGGTCGTAATTCTCATGCTAAGACCACAACAAAAATTTGCTGGAATGCGCACAAAGATGGTTAATAAAATTTTGTTTTTGGAGGTATCCAAGATTTACTGAACGAGCCAAACGTCAAGGACCCAGCGCAGGCCGAGGCCTACACCATCTACTGCCAGAATCGTTTAGAGTACGAGAAAAGGGTAAGGGCGCAGGCGCGCGCGATGAGTCACCAGGAGGGTTGAGGATTCATCGAAAAAAAAAAGAAAAAAGAAGACTTGTAGGGTTAGGATTTTGTAAGGATCGGAGCGACCGCGACATCATTCTCGTATTTCTAAGATGTTTTTATAAATTATCATCATTTATTTGGTTTTTTAGCGTTTCAGTGTACTTATTGTTTCTTCATGTCAATAAACTACTTTCTCTATACCCAGTCTTTCAGTCGCGGTTGTCCACTTCGCCCCTCTCGTCCACGCACTTCAAGTCCACGCAGTCCCTAAATATTCCCGAACTCCTGGAAATAAAGTCCCTAGGTTCGTAAATCAGTAAATGGCAGAAATTTGAGCAAACAATTTTTTTAAAGTGAATGGGCCAAAAGAGATAGAAATGATCTGAAATGGCCGCCGGGGCTCGGGTTTTTTATGTTAACCATAGTATCTTAAAGCTGAGAAAAATTCTTTTTTTTTTTGCTTTTATGCTGTACACTCCATTTTCGAAAGGAAAGCAATGGGCGGGGACGTTTGAACACTGTTAAATAAACATAAATTTCTTCAAAAATGCTTAACGCATTTGAATAAACTTGGGAGTCGTCAATCGTGTGATTGTTCCACTAGGCTGTTGCTACTAGGTGAAGTTCTCTAACAATCTCAAACAAAAAACTATAAGATTCATTAAAGCCAAAATTTCGAATTTATTTATTTTTGGTTAGTTCGGAGTTGCTAAAAAGGCTAGGCTATAAATCGTGCTATAAGTGACGCCATTGCGCTACTAGGTGGAATTAACCAAAGCAAAAAAAAATCTGAAGAAGAATAAATGCAACAATACAAGTTTTGGTTAGTATGGAACATACAAAAAAGGGTTTTCCCTAGGCTAAAAACGTGCTATAAATGACGCCTTTGCGCCACTAGGCTGAGCTTTTTGACAATCTCGAAACAAAAAAATTTGAAAGAATAAATGCAAGGAAATAAGTTTTGGTTACTCTGGAGCTGTTAAAAAAGGGTTTTCCTAAGCTAAAAAAGGTGCTATAAATGACGCCACTGTACCACTAGGCGAAGCTTTTTTACAATCTAAAAACAAAAAAATATGAAAGAAGAATAAATGCAATGATACAAGTTTTGGTTAGTTTGGAGTCATGAAAGAGGTTTTTTTCCTAGGCTATAAATAGAAAATTTTCCACTTTAGGGGCTATTTAGGATGCCAAATGGAATTCAAAATCAAAATAAATTTTTATTTATTACTTGTTTACAATACGATTGAAGGGCACCAAAGTACGCCGTAATTAACGTTTCTGTTTTGACTTGTTTGTTAGTTTTTAAATGTTTACTTTTATCACTTTTTCTTTAATTAATAATTAGGTTCAGTTAACTAGTTAGTCTTTAATAATTGATTAGGGATTACATTAACTTAGGGTGTAATGACAGAAGATGAGTTGCAGTAACACAGAATGAAGTTGTTGAGTGGTTTGTGATGGAGGATGGTCAATTGGCTTTGGAGGGAAGTAAAAAGGCTATTTCAGTTTTCTTACTATAATTTTATTGAAAACAAATATTCCAATGTCGTTCTAAAAGCTCAAGCTAAACCCTACTGCGATGATCTCCAAAAAATAGTTATTAGTCTTTAATTGATTCATGATATCAATCTTTGTTGTTAAATTTGAGGGCCTAATAAGGACTGACAGTTAATACTCTAATAATTTTATGTGAATTAGAACACAATGAAACAATTAAAAATTATCTTAAAAAAGACAAGAACATCATATCTAGCTTTCTTAGACTTTAGAAATACCCCTAAAAATAGAGATAGCCAAATAATTAAACTAATATTTGATGTTACCTGCACAATTTTTTCGACAAATTCTCCCCCGCGTTCCACACCGCATTGCTCAGTCTCTCCAAATCGATCCTCGACAAGTAGAGCTCGCAAAGTTCCCGCAGTCTTAAATTATAGAACATCAACCTAATGATACCCATCAATCAGCGTCGGTACTTTTTGGTCCAGTTCGTGTTATTCTCCAACCGATAGGCGCAGTTCAAATAATCGGAGGTGATGTTATATTTTCCCAGCGAGCCTGAATCGTAACTAAAACCACAGAATGCCAAGGTTAGTTTTGGTTAGTTAGTAAAACTTGATATTAAACCGTTACCTTTTGAAACCTTTTCGGCACAAGTGCGTAACTTTGACGCTCAGCTCCCGTTGAAGCGACTTCCGCTTGGTTTCATCCAGTTCGCACTCCTCGCCGAAACCGTCGATCACCTGCTGCATCTAAAATTTGGACCCCGAAAATTTCACCCGACCCTAATCTCAAAAAATTACCTCCGCCGCAACGGCCAAACACGCCGCGCATTTGGCGCAAAACGAACCAAATGGTTTCGGCGGCACCGAGTTTTCAATCTGCGGCCTATAAACGTTGATAACTTTCTTCGGCGCTGCTAGCGTTACGTTGCAAACGGGACATAAGCAACTGCTACAAAAACATGCGTCATCGTTTCGATTCAATTTATCCGATGACGTGTAGAGATTGCTCGAGGTTTGTTCCACGACCGGTGGTGGTGGATGTTTCGAGAACGGGAGCAGAGATAATTGCGACGGCGATAAAAAATTGAAGAAAAGAAGTAAAATATAAAAACGTTGCATCAAAACGGATGACGAAAATTTGGAAACGTCATTTCAAAATACAATAACAGAGACGGGTGGGTTGTCTGAGGTTTGAAAATGTTGAAATTTCTTTAATGGCGTCATCTAACGTGCGCCCATTGCAACTTCTGTCAGATTTTCGTAGTTTCATGGTGTAACGCCAGATGGGGGTATATAGCACTGGGTATTTTACTCACGGATTTATTAAAATAATTACAATGGTGGTAATTGGCGGTACAAGCTAGCGGTATTGAACGACTAACAGAGACCACTACGAACTACTTACTAAACGCACAGAAGAGCCAAGCATGGTTCTTCTTTTTGCACGGGGCAACCGGCAACGCACTACTATTTCGCCAGAATTCTCTCTGGAGGAATGTTTGTTAGTGTGTTTTTTTATAAGAAAATGTTAGTTTAGTTTGTGGTGTCGCGATAGTGCGTAGGAGGTTGACATGTTGGAAACATAGCGATAGAAAAAAAATTCTAGTTTTTTCTTACGTAACGTCCTATATATCTTCGTATTTCAATTCCACCGTTTATTCTAAACACATTTTGTATAAGACATCGCCAGTATATAGTTTTACTATTTACAAATCTTCTGGTTTCCTCCTACGTCAGTTATTTACAAAATCATCATCCTGTAGACTTCTTCAGAGTTTAACGCAGCTTTCATTTGATGGAAGTTACGAAAGCATCAGGACAAACGTTCTAAATGCATCTACTAGACACGTATTACCCAAGTTTGCCTCTTTGGGCCTTGGAATTATAAGAATCAAGTTCCTTTTTGGAGTCGCAGCGATGACCATTTATAAATAAAACAGAGGACTAATTAAATATTTTATAATTTAATGGTAACGGTATAAATAATAAATTGCAACAAAACAGTAATAAATAGATACAAAATTTTACAATAACCGACTCGCATATCTAATTCGTTACGACTTGATAATTATTAATGATAATCACTAGAGTAACAGCTCCGAATTTTGACTAAGTAAACATCAGAACATTACTTGGTTAGTTTGGATATACAGATCCCCTGTCATTTAGATGCCAAGGACGGGCTATAGAAAACCGTGGACCAGGTTTCATTAATTGCTACCTTGACATAAACAAAAGGCACCTTTAAAAAGTTCTAAATATAAAAGTCGATTTTTTTCATACCCCAGCAAAAGGCTTTATATTTAACAGCTATTTTGAAAATGGAAGACAAAGTCGAAAATCGTCAACTGATATCCAGAAAATAGTAGTAATAGTAAATTTTAAAGAAAAATACATATCCAAAATCCAAAAATTATATAACCAAATTAAAAAAAAATCTAAGTCGATTCATTATTTTGCATGATGGTTCTTCAATAAAGCTTATTAGGGTGCCAGATAAATTTTTGCTTCTACATCAAAAAGTTTCGACTGTCATGACAATATGAACCCGTGAAATGTTTGAAAAAAGAAAAACTACTTATGGTAGTACGTTAAGAATTAGAACAGACGGAGGCCTTTTTTCGTTTATGACGGATGCGTGAGCTGTCAATACTAAAAATTGATCCACGTTTTTCTACGCTACGCCATTGCCAAGTATGTACAAAAATTACCTAATTAGCACCACTACCTTCGTCTAGCTGTGGGGAACGAATCGTAAGGATACTCGTAATGTTGATGGAGTTGCCCTGCAAATAGAAAAGTCGTGGTTACCTGCATTTTCTTAACATTTTGAGCTACTAACTAGGTATCCAAAAAATACAGGGTGTCTCATTTGCGTTTTTCGTGCTTACTTTTCGTGGAACGAAGGACATCGTTAACAAAAATTTCATAACCTTTGTGTTTTTAAGATACAGCGGCAAATTGTAAATATTGCATTTTCAAGAATCGACTATCTTTTAGAATGCTTTCGAAATTAGTGTACAAGGTCAGGTCAAAAAGTTATCGGACCCTATTTTATTTTTTACATCGAACACCCTGTATATTTATAGACTAGAAGATTGGTCTTTTTTAAGTTTTATAAAATATGTGATAGTGTGCACTTTTTCTCGGAAACAAGCAAATAAATGATAATTTTGGAAAATTAAATGCTATAATCATTGTTATGATTTTTGGATCGACTTAAAGCAGTTTATGTACTTTCTTTTGGTATTTTCGTTTGATTGATGCTTATCAATTTCTGTTAACAATTGCAGCTTATGAAAATTTTGAGAAATATGATATGCTGTTAGGTTCTTTACAAAATAATGAAAGTTCTCAACAAAGAGAACTGGCAAAGAAGGGCGATAGATGTTTTGGGATATGTAGAAGCAATCCCTTCGTCCTTATGTATAAATGTTGATAGTGAAATTGGTGTGCCAAAAACACAAATGTCAGAGGATCGCGGTCTCCAATTTGTTGTTAATAATGTGGTTTTTCCTTACTTTTATTATTAAACTTCAAAAAGTATTTAATTTTTGAATCTTCGTCCCATATAAACAAATAAAGTAGTGTCTTATAATTTTGCGACCTGGTCCTGTACACTAATTCCGAGGAAAGTTATATAAGAGACTCTTTTGACGTTTTCGATAAGTTGTCTGGTAATGGAGATAAGAGGGGTGTCTGCAAATGCAATATTTTCAATTTACCTGCGTGTCTTAAAAAAGGGCTATGAACATCTTGTTAATGACATCTTTTGTTTCACAAAAGTATCTCTACGAAAATAACGGAATTGCCCCGCAAAAATACCCTGTACTAATTTTGAAATTTACCTAACTAAGTCAGTCTTTTCGGTCCATCGGGAGTCAGCTCGTATGTCAACGATCTCACGACGTCGATACTAGGTCTTCTGTGTCTGTTCTCAGTCTGTGCCCTCAGTTTCGCGCCAGAAGAAGACTTGGGAATCGTGTGTCTGGCCGCGGAAGAAAATTCGTGAGATTTTGAGGGTTTGTGTTTGGATGTGTACTTCGGTGGAGGGGGGAAATTGTGAGATGCGGCCACGTCCATGAATTCCGAGCTCTCGGGGTACAGCGCACTTTTTAGGAAGTTAGTCGTAGACGGACCGGGCAGTTCCGCCGATAAGCTGGCCAAATACTCAGCACTGTACGGAGCGTTGGAGCCACTTTGAAAAATACCTTTGGCTTTATCGGAATGTCTCTTGGAATTTGATTTGGAAGATTGCAATTGGTCGAGCTCGCCTCTGGTCAGCTTCAAAGAGTGAACCTCGTTCTGAGAAGCTTCGGCGCTGAGGTGGTCGTTTATGTAACTGGGAGAGTTCTCGAAAGGTACTCCGTAGCTAGTGGCTGGAGGTGACGGGAGTTGGTCGTTACTTTGAAACCCGGAGGTACCGTAATCAGCACCCGAGGGTACCGTTTGAAGAATTGGCTCGTTGCTCGGATGAGGAGGGGCGATATTAACCCGAGGTTCTTCAAAATGGTGATGGTGATTTCCCTCGTGAGGTTGGTATAATATTTCCGGCGCGGTGTTGCCGAACGGGGTGGGTTTGTGAGGGTCCAGAGACGTGGAGGCGGTAAAAAATTTGCCGACCACCGCGCCCAAGGTGGGAACGGCGGGCGATAGAGGTTTGAACGGCGGTATTTTCGATTCTTCCGCTCTGTGGTGGTCTCCCGGGATTTTTTTCAGTATCAAGATGCCGGCCTGCGAGCCCGACGGCAGCTTGACTTGAAATAGAAAAATACGAGTCAAATTAAGTCGGTGCGTCTTTTTTTCACGTCTTGTTTGTCGGGCTTAATAATGATAAAAATGATAGTAATAATAATGATAATAATAATAATATAATAGTACATTTATTTATTTACATATGGTTTAGGACAATATGTTAGACATTTTAATAACTATGTCAAAAAGGTGGCTGTACGTCAATTTAGAAATGATTCGACTTTAACCTCCCAGCTAATAGTCTATTTATTTATTTATTTATCTGCGGTTTAACCAATTTACAAAACTTTTACATTCATTAAAATCAAATGGAGAGGAAGACAGCAGTATAACAGCTAGAATAACAAGAATAAAATATAACAATAACAATAAATAGAAAAGGAACACATCAGAATAAAATGCTGGGAGGCTGCAGACAAAAGAATTAAGGGTTGGATAGTTGCGCGCTTTCAGCATTGAGTTATCACAGCTTCTGTAATATGCATTCAATTTTATGGTTTGTAAAAGAGCTGGACAATAATACCAACCACCCAAAATCTTAAAGAGAAAAAATAAATCACTCTGGAATATTCTGATTTGAACAGTATCAATATTGAATTAATTAGTTATAATGCTGTAGTTGATCTGATACCCATTAGAGATATCGATATGCGCCTTTGAAGCCAAAGATCTAAAAAATACTTTCTGATGATTCTGATACTTCAACTGATGCACACACCAGTCTAGAGCGAACCAAAGAGATATAGACGAGTCTAAAGCAATGTAGAGTTCATTGGCCACTATTGCGTACAACAAACCCAAGGACACGCAGCGACCCGTTTACCACTTCTGCAAAAATCTAGTTTAGAACCCAAGAGAACACCCAAATCGATCTGGACTCTATCAATGCTATATCGGTTGTGAACCACACTCAACCCACGACTAAAGGTAATACTACAGCATTTTTCTACATTGAACGCGAGACAATGTTACACTGTCCACGTCTCTCTGAAGCAACGCGATCCAACCCTGCTGAATATCTTCAAATCATCCGCAAACAAAAGACATTGCGATACGGAAACTGCAACTAACAAAATCATTTATGAACAAGTTAAAAAGTATGGGTGCAGTGTGAGAACCTTGGGGGACTGAGTACGACCAGATAGGAAGCACTGAACCCACTGCACCAGCCCAGCCGCCCAGGCTCATAGCTCTAAGCTTAGAGACAAGAAGCACATGGTCAAAAGACTTCGAGATATCAGTATAGACACAATCCACTTGACCAAGCCCCTGAAAAGGGGACAATATAAAATGTTGCTACAGTAAATCTATCCTGTACATGTTGTTGATCAGCCAAAATTGCCCTGCAATGTCACTAAGTCTCTCACAAAATAACTTATCTAGTAGTTTAGGAACTACCGACTGTATGCAAACGACTCTATAATTAGCGACATCGCTTTTATCACCACTCTTCTGAATCGGTACTAAATAGCTAACTTTCTAAAAGTCAGGAAAAATACCTGAAGACAATAATGGTCCTATTCAAAGTGCGAAAATGCGAAAATCCAGTCTGTAAATTCATAATATTCTCAAACACATAGGAGTTGAAGTCTAAGCTATAGTCAACACTATAGTTAGGAATCACACCCTCATACTTTTTATAGAAGTAAAGTGCTTTGCAAACAACGTTGTTAGTTTACTTGTATTTTGTGATGCAGTTTTTTTCGTAAAAATTAAGTTCTGGAATTCGCGACTAAATTATGCAGGGAAATTTGAAGGCTCAGATCGCTTAACAGGAACAAAAATCTCAATCGCACAATACAAAATACTATAGAAATATTCGACACATCTGTTAACATTCCTCGGGTTAAGTGCACTCTCCCATGGTATACAAGACAGGAAACAATTCGTTGCATAAAAGTTACAATTATGGTAAATACAACAGGCACACAGCAGATGTGGCGACGTGACAGATTCCGTACTCTCCACAGTAACCACTCTCAGAATTACTCCAAACGGCACTAGATAAATTGAGAGGCCTAAAATAGAGGAAGTAAACTCCTCATACACTGAAGCAGTTGACGTGGGAGAAATGTAAACCGCACAAAGAATATTTTTTTTTCACTCCGCACGAAACATACACCAAAATATAGTACTACTAACTGCGATGAGGGTACCTCTCCCCCTCGTCAGATCAGTATTTGCCTGACTGCGATTTTGCCTGAAAATAATAAAGTTACCAAAGCCTAGGTCTGAATGCAAGTAGTCCTCGTTGAGCCACGACTCCACCAGTACAATAACATCATATATTAACCTTCCCTGCCAACTCATTCAATCTAGTACTCACACCGCCCGCATTATGATAATAGTAAATAGAAACAGTATTATTAACAATTTTGATATATCTGTAGCGAAAAATAACCAATCATACTCGAAAAGTCGATAAGATAATACTTATGTCAAAAAAATAACTTGGTTTTGATAGTAATTAAGGTAATTAAAGGTCATTTGTTGAGCAGAAATTGTTCATAATCTTCCGGGATACTATTATAATGTACGAAAAGGATCTTTCATAAAAAACAGTTTTATGGACTCGCGGCGCTATATATCCACCTTAGACTTAATGTATTCGAATTCTGTAAGTGAAATACCACGGAACAGTGAAGAAGAGTGCAGCTCTTTTCTGTCCTATATTGATAACCAATTAGTCTCGCGTAGTTTGTAAGAAACTGGTTCGCAATAAATAAATAATTTTGGGACATCTGTTGCTTTTATAAATGTGACTGACAGCATTTTGCGATAAGATGATGAACGCTATCCTTATTCTGTAAGATTATTCGATGGATACAACTTGTTATTTCTGAAATAAAATACTGTTGCTCTGATGATGCAGCTTCCATTCTTATCAGTTATATAGCGTAATAATAATTTATCTGATCAGGTGCATATTACATCTTGGGTTCCACAAGGTACCTTCTTAGGGCCCTTACTCTCTCTCATTTATACGTCGGATATGCCTAAGTCACTGCGGTACTGTGAAATAGCCTCATTC